GAGTGTTGGGGTGTGGGCATGGGTATGGAAGCCCCACTTTGTTTCTAAATATCTATATCTATGTCTATATCTATCTATAAATGTATATATAAACTTTATATATATATATAAACTTTATGAAACTTGTATAACTGAAATAAAATTTTAAAAAACCTTAAGTAAATTTGGTCCAGAAAGAATATTTCTCAATACAATCAAGCAAATATGACAAACACACAGCCAGCATCTTATTGAAAGGGGAGAAGTAGGAAGCATTTCCACCAAAATCTACAACCAGGAAAAGATGCCCATTTTCACCACTGTTATTCAATATAATCCTGGAAGTTTCAGTCACAGCCATTAGCAGGATAAATAAATTAAAGTGGTATAAATTGGAAAGGAGGAAGTCAAATTATTTCTTTTTGCAGATGGCATTATCCTATATATAAGGATACCAAAAGTCTCCACTAAAAGACTACTGTAACTCATAAGAGAGTTTGGTAAAGTGTTAGGATATAAAATAAACACAGAAAAATGAATAGCCCCTGTATACACAGCCAATGCTATGACTAAGGAAAGAACTCCTAAGATCAATATCATTTACAATGGCTACTGAAAAGATTTTTTTTAATTAGTAAATATAAATTTCCAAAGTAAGTTTATAGATTACAATGGCTCCCCCCCCATAATTTCCCTCCCACTCGCACCCCTCCCATCTCCTGCTCCCTCTCCCATTTAAATATTTTGGAACACATTTAACCAAGGAGGTGAGAGATCTATATGATGAGAATTACAAACAATAAAGAAATAAACAGAAGACATAACATGTGGAAGAATCCTCCATGTCTGTGGATTAGAAGAATTAATATCATCAAAATATCCATATTCCTAAATGCAATTTACAGATTCAATGCAATGCCAACAGAATACTAATTACAGTCTTCTCATATCTAGAAAAAATGCTAAAATTTATAGGGAAACACAAGAGGCCTTGAATAGCTAAAACAATTTTAACAACAAAACAAAGCTAGAGGCATCACAATGCCAGATTTCAAGACATACTTCAGGGAAGTTATAACCAGAACAGTCTGGTACTGGCATAAAAATTGATGGGTAGACCAATGGAATGAAATAGAAATCCCAAGAATTCTTCCATTCAGCTACCACAAATGAACTTAAATCAATCGCTAGAGCAAGGATAATCTCTTCAACAAATGGTGCTGGAAAATTGGACCTCCACATGCAGAAGTAAGAAACAAGACCCCTACCTTACACCGTATACAAACATCAACTCAAAATGGATCAAGGCTATTAATCTATGACTTGATACTGTCAAATTACTAGAGCAGAACACTGGGGAAATCTGTAAGACATTGGTATAGGCAAGCAAAGACTTCTTGGAAAAGACACTAGAAGCACAGGCACTCAAAGCCAAAATGGACAAATAGGATTACATCATGCTGAGAATCTTTTGCACTGCAAAGAAAGCATTCAACAAACTGAAGAAGCAATCGATCAAATGGAAGAAAATATTTGCAAACTACACAACTGATAAAAAATATTTAGAATCTATAAAGCACACAAAAAACTCAACAACAAAACAAAAACAAACAATCCCACTTAAGAAATGGACAAAGGACTTGAACAGGCATTTTTCAAAAGGGGAAATCCAAATGGCCAACAGATCCATGAAAAAATGGTCAGGATCACTAGCCATCAGAGAAATGTGAAACATAAGCATCACGAGGTTCTGTTTTGGACAAATGTCAAGGCCATTGTGGACAACTGTGAAAATTTGAATATGATGAGATAATGTGCAATGTTAAGAATGATCACTAGGGCCAATGTATGGCACAGCACATTAAGCCACTGCCTGCAGTGTTAGCATTCCATATGAGCACCATCTCAAGTCCTGGCTGCTCTATTCCTCATCCAGCTCTCTGCTAATGTACCCGAGGATGCAGTGGAAGATAGCCCTTGAGCTCCTGTCACCCATGTGGATGAACTGAGGAAGCTCCTGGTTCCTAACTTTAGCCTGGCCAAACTCCAGTCATTGAGGCCATTTGGGGGGTGGATCAGAGGGTGGAAGGTTGATATATTTCCCTCCCCTCCCCTCCCCTCCCCTCCCCTCTCCCCTCTCTCTCTCTCTCTCTTTCTCACCTTCTCCTTCTATGAGAGAGAGAAACAGAAACACTACCTTTCAAATAAATAAGCAAATCTTAACAATGTTTACCAATTATATTATCTGTGATAAAGATGAGTATTAGGAAGAGTTTTTTAGTTTGAAGAAAAGCATAATGAAGTATGTACAGATAAAATGTTCAAATACCATATTTTACTTTCTATCAATATAAACAACGATTTTGAAAAAGGAACAGGCCAACTCTAAATACAATTGCAAAAATGTTATAAATGGCTCAAGGTTCAAAATCATGCAATAGCATCAAGGATTATGGTTAGTTGGACAAAAGAAATCATGAATACCAACATGAGTACCAGCTTTCTTCTCAAGAGGTGTCCCCATTAATATCCAGTTCCAATGTACTATCATGTGGTGGAATGAGAAGGCCATGCCAAGATGGCCACTGGAAAGCTAGCATCAGTTACTCAGGAATGGCTTCGGAAACCACCTGGCAACAGAGCCTGCCTGACAATAGGCTGTGATTGGTTAGGGCATAAACCACTCAGCTATATAAGCTGCTATACCAACTAAAATGAGTCTGCAGGCTTCTTTCCTTTGGCCCGCTTTCACCTGGCTCCCAGGGTCTATGTGTTGACTCCATGCCTCTTGCCCCCACTGTGCCCCTCCTCTCAGAACAAATCCACAGCAACACTATCAGATGTACTTTTATAATTTAAAGTATGAACTCTCAAAAGACTTCCTAATACAATATGAGAAGCAATTAAGCTTGTTAAACCAATTATCAGAATCACCCGAGAGAGAGATGAGAGATGTGAAATTATAGCAGTCCTCAGTGACAACTAAAGTGACAAACAATGGTGATTTTTATAGTATATAAAATATATAAAGTTTTAATTCCCAAATTTTCCCCACAAACCTTTTATTTAAAGAATACTAACTTCATCACAATGCTGTGTTTCATACCGCTTTCTTCACCACACTGATGTCTTCTCTATACCCTATGTGAGAATTATTTCCCTTGAACATTAATTAACATACTTTGTTCTAATCACATGCCTGCAGCTAAGGAAGCAAACTTTAGGAGTTCAGACATTATCTGAGGGATAAGCATGAAACTTTAATTAGGTGCTAACAACTGGTATTTCGTGATATGACCTTAAGCCATTGTAGTTGGCAGTGTTGGGAAAAACAAAAGACTACCTAGGCAAAGTAGTAAGACTTCAGATCTTTAGTAGCTTGAAATCACTCTTGTGCAGATACAAGCAGGTGAAATCTACATCTAAGTGCTCTTCAAAGAACCTCACCTAGGACAAAGACCAAAAGTTGGTGTTCTCCGTTCCTTCTAAGAAATGTGTCATTTAAATAAACAGCACATGCCCTTGGGTATAGAAATAATTTTTTGAAACTGAAACAAAATGAATCAAGAATGATGAAAATAAACCCAAGGCCCAGTTGCTTACGGATCACTTCTGCATCTTCATCACCCCAATGATTATTACACATTGTTCTTCACTCACTAGCATGGTAGAGCTCCACTGGACATTCATGCAGATTGCTCCCACCAGTCCCAAGAATGACAGAGAACACTGCGCTTGTGATATGTGAAATACAGAAGAATTAACACCTATGCATTGACATTGATCAATCAGATTAGGTCCATCTATCACTCTGCCATTCCAATAATTCAATAGTATTTACCAGGCTACACCAGTGAAACAGATATATACATGTAAATCTAACACATATCATGGTTGTCTCGGTCCATTAAAAATCCAAAAGTGAATTACATTCATATAAATTCACCACTAAGAGGAAAGAGGCTGGGTTGGTGTTGTGGTGTAGTGTGTTAAGCCACTACCTGTGGCAGCAGCATCCCTTTTGAGTACTGGTTTGTGTCCTGGCTGTTCCATTTCCAATCCAGCTCCCTGCTAATGTGCTTGAGAAAGCAGTGGAAGATGGCCCAAGTGCTTGGGCCTCTGCACTCACATGGGAGACCCTGAAGAAACTCCTGGCTCCTGGCTTCAATCTGGCCCAGTCATTTGGGAAGTGAGCCAGTGGATGGAAGATCTCTTAATCTCTCTCATTCTCTCTCTCTCTCCCTCTCTCTCTCTCTCGGTGTGTATGTGTATGTGTGTTGCTTACTCTCTCTACATAACTGTGCTTTTCAAATAGAAAAATCAATCTTTTTTAAAAAGAGAGAATCTAAATTCACTTCTCCCAAAATAACCTCAGAAGCCAGAGAAAACACACAAAACCTGAAGAATACAGGAAACATATTTGCTCTTTATGATGTCACTGGTGCTCAGGTGCACAAATGTGTATCTGCGTGCTTAAACAACACTGCTGATCACCACTCCTACTCGCCAGTGTATGGAGCTTAGAAGAAGCTCTTATTCAGGCTAACAATCCGCTTTTCCAGAATGTGTGGTCCAACACTGTTACCATGATTATATTCATTTTACAAAGTGAAAATATGTTGCTGTGGTTGCTTTATTTTACATTTGGTTTCAAGATGATTTTCCATCTTGATTCCCTCATTTTTTATTATTAAGTATTTTATTATTAAGCACTATTAAGTATTAAGTATTTATTATTTTATTATTAAGTATTGTATTATTAAGTATTATTAAGTAGTTTATTATTAAATATTAGGTATTTATTATTAAGTATTAAGTAATCACATACTTGTACTTCACATACAGTTTATCAAACAACATATAATTCACTTTACCAAATGTAAGATTTATTTCTATAAGCAATTCATGCAACATGTTAAAATGAGACACTGTTTAAAAATCAAACCAAATTCACTTTGTTAGATGTATTCATACTGAAGTTTTGACAATAGAAAAATTTCAGCTTATGTCTGTATTTAAATTAAGGAAATGATCTAAGTAAGACATATTTATAATCTGAAATCATGTTTAAAGCACAATGAAAATAAAACAAGAAAAAACAGTCTCACCATGGGAAAAACTGCATGTGACAGCAGCTGCTATCTGTGAGGACACGACCCACCCTGTCAGACGTCTTTCTCACAAAACAGTGTATGTTCTTCATCTCCACAGCAATGGAAAGTGCTCCAATGAATGGGAATGGGGCACAGCCCAGAAACTGTCATGTTTTGTTATTCCTTTTGCTCAGAATTTTGGTGATATAGATTATATTTATTAGGCAAAGTTTCACATCAAAACAATTGCACCTTGAAAGATAAAATAATAAAGACGAATGTGAAAAAGCAGCACAGAGGACCACCTGAGTTTCAAGAAAATCAAACATCGGTTCAGAACTCGAGTTTACTTGTGGCAATCATTTTATCCCTGACATACCTTTAAAAGTTGTCGCTGATTTGAAGAAAATGGGCATGTACCACAGACATAAAAGTGCGTCTGTGTGGACTTGAGCAACAAAATGTTATGAGGCCCAGCGAACCTGAGATTCTGATTTGGACTCAGCTAGAAGTCTCTCTGAGCTACAAGTCTCTGAAAGTTTCTGCCTTCTAATGTGGGAACCAAGAAGTTTAGATACTTAAAGATTCTTCCAATGCCAATTTTCTGGACTAGCATATTCAATATTATTGTTTTTCCAATTTGTGTGCAATGTCAAAACAGCCAGCTCATTTAAAATTCTTAAATCTAGCATTTGCTAACAAGATCCGGAAACCAATTAGTAAAATCACCTGCAGATGGGCTCTGCTTTTAGCTCATCTAAGGTCATAATTTTAGAGATAAGCTTTGATGTATACAAACTGATAGTGAATTTTAAAAAGATTCAGCACTCATCTGATTAGCATGGTAATCTCTACAGTTGTCTCCATGGCTACAGCTACCATCAAGCAAATCGTGAACAGCTGGAATGTATCTAAAATATCAAGTCCTTACACAATAAAGCTGCGTGGCTCTGCTTTACTGTGTAATATTTTAATGGACTATTGAGAGATGATATAAGCAGTATCACTGACTTACCTGATTTTCATCTACAGAATAGTAGTGCACATTCCCTCATCAATCAAGATTAGCAAACACACTGTAGTTCACAGGTCTACTTGAGTATTCTTGCTCTCTTTATGTATCACAGCAAGTGTTATTTTTCATTTTTTTAAACTTTTATTTAATAACTAAATTTTGAAAGTACAACTTCTGGATTACAGCGGACCCTCCCCTCACAACCTCCCTCCCACCCACAACCACCCCATCTCCCACTCCCTCTCCCATCCCATTCTTCATCAAGATTCATTTTCCATTATCTTTATATACAGGAGATCAACTTGGTATATACTAAGTACAGGTAGGTATGGATGTAAAGGGAGACACTTTCCCCACATCCAAAGATTTTACACTTCCTATTCCTCAAAGGAAAATCATCAAATCAGCATTCTTTATGATCTGCCCACCTGCTAATGCCTAAAAGTCAATTCAACATTGATGGGGCCAGCGCTGTGGTGCAGCGGCTAAAGCCTCCACCTGCAGTGCTGGCATCCCATATGGGTGCTCGTTCACTTCTGATCTGGCTCCGCTTTGGCCTAGGAAAGCAGTAGAAGATGGCCCAAGTCCTTGGTCCCCTGCACCAGCATGGGAGACCCAGAAGAAGCTCCTGGCTTCAGATCGGTGCAGCTCTGGCCATTGCGGCCATCTGGGGAGTGAACCAGAGGATAGAAGATCTCTCTATACCTCTGTCAGTCTGTCTGTCTGTCTGTCTCTCTCTGCCTCTGCCTCTCTGTAACTCTGCCTTTCAAATAAATAATAAATCTTTTAAAAAAACATACATTGATAACATCAGTAATTAGGACTGGCATTGTGACACATGGATAAAGCTGCCACCTGTGATGCTGGCATCCCATATGGGCACCAGCTTGAGTCCCAGCTGTTCCACTTCCAACCCTGCTCCCTGCTGATGGGCCTATGGAAACCTATGGCACAAGGCATAAAGATGCTCAAAATGGTGGGAGTCAGTAGACACTAAATCATTGTTCTTTTTTTTTTTAAATTTATTTGACAGGTGGTGTTATAGACAGAGAGAGACAGAGAGAAAGGTCTTCCTTCCATTGGTTCACTCCCCAAATGGCCACTACGGCCGGTGCTATGCCGATCCGAAGCCAGGAGCCAGGTGCTTCCTCCTGGTCTCCCATGCGGGTGCAGGAGCCCAAGCACTTGGGCCACCCTCCACTGCATACACTCCATACACTCTTAGTGACCAGAGAAAAACCATATCCTGGAATCCAGAGCCCAGCACCTTGCATAGAAACTGTCACCTGACAACTCCACAATCAAGCAGCTGTGCTAACTGAAATCACAGTACCCATACAGTTTACTCATAACTCTTTGGCAGCCCCATCACACCCCTCAGGGCAAATCCAAGCCCCTCATCTGTCCCTCTCCAAGACACCCCCACGCCCACCCATGACAGGCTGGCCTCCCGGCAGCCCCAACCTGCCGCCACCGCTGACCGGAGGCCCTCACCTTGTTGGCAGTCTCAGCAGCCTTGGTCAACGTTGCAGGGGCATCCCCATGGAGAACACAGTCCAGGCTCCATTAAAAATTGTGGCAGTGTCCTCCCAGTGCCGGGGGCGTGACCACTCTAGGCAAGGTGTTCTCTCTGTTCAGCACAGACATGGGGTGCAGATGCCCATCAAGTTGAACCCTGGGGATGACAGGGCAGACCCTGGGATGCAGCCAAGATGTGTGGCCAGCCGGGGTGGGGGGGAGACATGTAGGTACAGGACAGGAGGGAGCGGCCACCATCATGAGGGAAGGGTCGACCAGGGGTGGCAGAGGCGCCCTCTGTTGCTGCTGCAGGTCAAGAAGACAATATTGATCCTGTGGCTCCAGAGAGGGCTGATGGCAGTGGCAGCAGTGGAGGGGTTACCTGAGGACCAAAGCTGGTCACAGCCGGGAAGAGCACTAAAACCTATTGTCCAGGCTATCGTCCAGGTGCCAGCGCTGCAAGGTTTCAGCCGTGCTCCACAGACCCTTGGGCTCGGGAGAAGGGGGGTGGTGGATTCTGGACTGCAGCCTCAACTGGCATGCACAGCTCTCCCTGCCTCACTGTGCCTCCGCCCTGCTTGCCCAGGTGGCCAGGTCATTGCAATCCTGTTTGGCCAAGATCCAGGTCGCAGAGTGGACCCAAAAGAGTGTGCTGCCCAGGCCAGAGTGTTGGCCCAACCTGGGGCATGGCACTGCAACTCTGCCCTCTGGTGGTGGGTGCCAGGCATGCAGTGCCCTAATGGGACCTGGGCTCTGTCCCTGCAAGGCTCCTGGCTCCCAACCTCCCCCTGTAAGGCACGGGATTGCCCTGGCTCCGGATGCAAGAGGCAATCCCTATGGTGCCAGTGCAGGGGCCTGGCTTGGCAGCCTCTTGCCCACAGGCAGCACCACTACTGCCCGAGGTCTGGCTACTCCCACGTCTTCACAGGTCCCGCGTCATCCCTCCTGCATCACCAACCCATGCCTTTTTTTCTGTGTTGCACCCTTCAAGACTCATGAAAGGATTACCAATTTCAGTCTCTGCTAATTTCTTCCTACCATCACTCGGGCTGCAGACAAGTAAAACACAAAACAAAAATTAGAAAAGAGGGTCACTATCTACTACAGATCTTCAGAATACTGGCTCATTTGCCTAGCATGGAAGGAGCTGAAGAAAAATATCCAAGACATTGTCCACTGCTCTGTAAAGACGTTGTTTTTTCACTAACATATCATCCATTCCCCAAATTCTAACACGGTGCTTGTGTGGAGCAGGAAGTGAATGAATGTGCTTGTGTAAATACAAGGGTACTTCAAAAAGCTCATGGAAATGAATTCCTTGGGGCAAATAATTTTGAAATCCATGCACAGTTTTTTTTTTTTTTAAAGATATATGTTCATGAGTAAACCTTGTATACATGGATTCAGAATTTCGGTGCTGGTAGCATGGGTGTGTTTTCTTTCCGGAATAGCATAATTCATCCCAAGGGCCTTTATTTTGCTGATGGAAATGTTTAATCTTATCACATCACTAAGCATAGACTGCTGATTATACTATCTTTCTCACAGCTACCATAAAGATGATAAACTGAAAAACTCATTGCCTTCTAGTCATTATAAGTCAGTACAAGAGTTGTGCTCTTTTACAGTTGTTCAGGCCCTAGGATCTTTCTCCAAAATGAAGATGTAAGTTACTTTCCTCAAGTCTCTACTGTGTGAGTGCTGAGAGAAAACTATTAACTGTTTCCCTATAGCAAGAATCGTGCCCATGAGTTGCAATTGACAAATTCCTTGAATCTCAGATTTTCTTTACCTCCTTTTCTGTCCCTTCTTTTGCAACTGGAAGGATTGACTTTAGGGTATTTCTTTCCTGATTCAAAACCTAGATGCATTGTGAAGGCATATATTTTTGTCCCTTTTATCCTGCAATTGTTGTCGTCTCAGATTTTTCACACAACCATGCAGTCATCTCTAATGAGAAGAGATCCCATTAGTATCCTCCACTTTAGCATCATGAATGGAAATGCTTCATGTATTTCAGAACTTCAAAATAATGCTGCAATTAATCTAAAACATCATGCATCAAATGGATGTCTTACTGCTACCCTCTGAAATCCCATATGTGCTCTCTTATCTCTCCAACTTTCAAATGTAAAGATATTACCAACACATATGAAATCCTTTTATTCCAAGAACTATGCACATCTTCATTCCCCCATAGATAGCTGTCCCTCAGCATCTGTGGGGAATTGATTCCATGATCCCAAAAGATAACAAAATCCACAGATGCTCCTACCCCAATATCAAGTAGAACTGTATTTGCATATAATTTATGCCACCCTCACATATCCTTTTAAGTGACCTCTACATCTCCTACACTACCTCCTACAAATTAACTGTTCTGTAAGGAATGGAACTTATACTTCAGAGAATAATGATAACTGAGAAACTTTGCATCTTATATTCTCTTTCTGGATTTGGCTGAAACCACAGGATATGAAGAGCTGCCTGTACATTTTAGTGGGCATTAAGCAGAATAGAACTACCACAAAACATGATCATTTACCACAGAATTTAAAATTTTCCAGAGAATACTGAAAGCTCCAGTGTAATTCCTGGTAGTGGAAAAAATATAGGAGCCAAGGTCTAGTGAGTCCAAGTGTCTATCTGTAATAGGGAATAATCAGATGGAGCTGCAATATAGGAAAACTTTATGAAATTTGTGTGAGAAAAGATTTCCAATCTCCCCCCTGGTGTATGGCTATGTAGCAATCAAAGGAAGCTGAGAAATACACAGTTGTCTTCTGGCCCCCGAGTGACCCAGTGAGACCAGAAGAATGACCCAACTGAGCTGGGCCTCCCTCAAAGCCTTAATCATGTACAAATGACTATCGAAGCCAAGAAGTCACAGCGTAATTCTTTAGGTGAACAAAGATAGAAGTGCACAGATCACTGGGTATGTCTTCTATAAACTAAGCAAAGTAATGTGCTCTGCGTGTGAGAACAAGATTTTACATCATTCACTGGATTTACAGATTCACTAATATGGGCCATCAGTAAAATATGTTTAAAACAATAGAGATTTCCAATGAGAGACCTGAGCCTGGATCAAGGTGCAGCTAGTTTAGAGTAGGCCTCCATCTCGTAACTCGGGCCTGAACCCTAAGCCAAAAGCTCCTGAAAAGAGAATAAACTTCCCCTGCGATAAACTCCCCTAGCAACAGCCAATCAGCAGATAGCAGGGAAATGCCTAAAGTTCCAGGTGTCTTTTCAGGCAGTTAAGGTGCTTGATGACATCCTGAAACCCTGCGGTTTGCCACCTACACCCAAGCGGCTCAGACCCTATACTTTAGCCAATCATTTTAAAAAGCATCAACCCCAAAGCCATCTTACCACCTTTACTAGGTCCATTCCCACCCTTGGATGCACTAATCAATCAGAGAATTTATGGTGACTTAAGAATATTTCAGATGATTTTGCTTACAAAATTGTTGATGGAGCTCAGATGTTCTGAAAATTCCCATTGAGTCCTGGAATGTGATTTGGATATTGAAGGTTTATGGGCATCATTGAAGGACTGTATTACTGAATTTTTCCTAAATGACTTCGCATTGATGAAAATAAGATAGGAATTAAAATCGAGAAGACATATATGGAAAGATGCTATGATTCACGTTTTGCTCTGGACACAGTATAATGCCAAATTTTCCTACATAACAAATTAGTGGAGTGTGATCATGGCACTCTACAGTCAGGTAACTGAGCTTACTCTCTTTTAAAAGTGGGTGGGAACTGAGAATCACTTATGTTCTTTATGTCTTCAAGTTATAATATTTCATTATTAATGTATGATTTTCTGAAGATTCTTATAAAAGTAATATATGGTATAATGAACATCATCTTCAGGATATCCAGAATATTGAAAATAGTTATTTGTCCAGGAGACATCAACCATTTCATAAATGGTATAAAAACATAAATGTCAAAATAGGAAAAAAATGAATAATTACAAAACAAAAAATAAAAAGATATAAAAAGAACAAAAGCCCCTCAAAATGAAAAATGAGAACATAAAACTCAAAAAACATAGGGACTGGCACTGTGATCCAATGGGTTAACGCCCTGGCCTGAAGTGCCAGCATCCCAAATGGGCACCAGTTCAAGACCTGGCTGCTCCACTTTTGATCCAGCTCTCCACCATGGCCTGGGAAAGCAGTAGAAGATGGCCCAAGTGCTTGGGCCCTGCACCTGTGTGGGAGACACAGGAAAAGCTCCTGGCTTCAGATCAGCACAGCTCCGGCCATTGCAGCCAATTGGGGAGCGAACCACCAGATGGAAGACCTCTCTCTGCCTCTCCTCTCTCTGTGTAACTCTGACTTTCAAGTAAATAAATAAATCTTTAAAAAACTCAAAAAAAATAGAATTAAAATGTGATTTGGTATGAACACGATTTTAAATCCATTCAAAGGATTTTATGGTATGCATCTTTATCAAATTTTGATGAGATTTAGAATATGAGCTTTCATGAACTTTCTGTGACTTCATGATGAAAAAAAATGTATGAAAATGCTACCATGAAAAAAACTATGTGTGGGTTTAAATTTTTTGTGCCAATATCAGCTCATATTTTCATTCTGTTTTTATATATTTCACTGTATTCTTAAATACTGATTTTATAGTAACTGTTGCATGTCCCCTTGAACAATGGAATTGGAAATTCAAGACTGAAATGGGTTGAGCTGAAATTTTGGAATCAGATCATTCCATATTCCTTTTTGAATAAGTCTGTGAAGTGTGAAGTGTACAACATGATTTCCGCACAGTCAGAAAACATGACTCCTTTGAAGTCAGTTGCAAGCCAATTTGTTTATTTCTGGACAGAAAGAAAAATCTGTCAATTTTTTTTCTAAAAACACTCTTAGCTTCATGGTAGAGTGTAGGGAAATTGGTGATGTCCAGCTGTGAATATGCTACCATTGAATGAAATAAAATGATTCATTTTGGAGAGTTGGGCGGCCCCCTACTAGATGTGAGTTTTGCAGCTTGCTTTATAGGGTCGATTACTGTTGTTCCAAAGCACCAGATATGATGAGATGGTTCCATTTCTGTTGAAATAAAAAGTGAAATAATATTCTCAGATTCGGGAGATATCCCAATTCCTGATTAAAGAACTGCCCTCAAGATTTCCCCTAAGAAATGAGGTAAACATCATTAAACCAAAAGACACACATGAGAAGGAACTGATAATACATGTCTCCAGGTTATGAACCAAACTTCACCCTGTAAAAAAATTGCCTTTTGCCAATAATAACCTAGGTTTGCAGAGTGCTTGCTGGCACTACTGAGGAGAAGTTAAGAGGAAGCCCTGAGATACCATGCCAATGGAGCTCTTGAGTAACAGCGGACAGAGGACACAGCTGTGCCCTGGAATCCTCTTCCAATGCAGGATTCCGGTCAATCGCCCTACTTGACATGGGGTCAGATTCCAGGAGTGGCATTATTTATTTCACTGAAGATAAAACCTAAGTTTTCTTAGGACATATTCATAAAGTAAACTCAGTATGAGAGAGAGAGTGGCAAAAAAAGTACTTTAAAGCCAAGTGTCACACACTCATAAAGGAGTGTTTTCATGAGGTTTCTGAGACTTCATGCAGACAATTTAAGGAAAATATGTGTTATGAAAAAACCATAGATATTATACTTTCTGAACCCAACAAATCCCCACTCTTCATTTTTAGAAGATTTACCTTTATCTTTGAATACTCTTTGTGTACAAAGCATTGGAATTAACCCCTGATGAAGCAAAAGAATAAGGGCAGGTAAACTGAAAGGACCTGGTAGCTTGGAAAGTGTCCATTCAGTGTGCAACTGCGAACACACATGGAACCACTTGATGCACAATGGTTGTCTTGGTGTAGGTGCCTCTTGGGCAATTTTCTACTCAGGAATTCCATCCATTCTTGGACAGAAATTGAATGTGTCAAGCAAAAACAGAAAACTTGTGCAAGCAGTCCTTCCTGTGAGGTTAAATGAAGTGCATGGGGAAAAAAATCCTAAGCAGTCATGGTAACTGTGCTCTTCTGTAACTCAGAAGTCAGAGGACAGTGCACTGGGTGGGCCCATACCAAGCGCAGGCTTGGCATCATCTCCGGCTGGAGAATTCACTTGGTCATTATAGTGGACACTGGTCTGGTCTGCAGTAGCAGGGTAATTTGTTCTGCTGAAGAAACACCAGGGAGCAGGAAAAATAATGTTAGGTGAGAGCATGATACACTCATGGTGTGGATTTCAGGAGGTTTGAGACAGCTTAGAGATAAGCTTATGAAAAGATACAACTGATGAGCAAATTGATACCTAGAGTAATTGCTTTGTTGGACCAAAACAACTTCCTATTGTACCTTGATTCTTATATTTTAGTTTTTGTCTTTGAATACCAAATTGTCTTGCAGCATTAGAACTACTTTTAATGAAGGCAAAGAAAAAAATGAAACAAACTTGTAGCTTGGAAAATGTGAATTCAGTGTTGTACTGCCAACAAGTGTGAAGAAAACATGAAGACTATGTGGTCTTAGTTTATGGGCCTCATGGGCAATTCTCTACCAAGGAACTTCACCCACCAGGGGAAGAAACTGAAGATATTTCAAGCAAAGTTTAAAAACAAACATTTTGAAACAGTAGTCCTTAGTCTTATGTTAAGTAAAATACAGAGAAAAGAAAAGAAAATCTTAAGGAAAAGAGATCCTAACTCAGCTTTCCAGCCACTTGGAATGCAGAGGACAGAAGACATAGGTGGGCCCATCTAGGCTCAGGCGTGGCATCCTGTGCCATTTCGAGATTTTGGCCATTCACCCTACCTGGTATTGTGTCAACAGCAGCGGTAGCATCAAAGCACCTGTAGAATGACAAACAAAAGTTGTCAAGATATTTCAGACAACAGACCCATCTCAACATCTGATGGCAGCAAAAAAATTTGAAATCCAAGCAAATTGGCTCCTATTGTGGACTTGAATGAGTTTTCTGATACATCATTAAAATCAGTTTCTTAAAGTATGGATAATGAAAAAAAGCTCATAGTTTAATAATTTTAGAACAAAATTCTTGTTTAAATTCATTTTTAGTTTTTTTCCCCTTTTATCCTTGACTATTATTTGTATCTTAACAATCGCAACTACTCTTTCAGAAGACAAAAAGATTATGATAAAAATCAAAGGTCTGGTAACTTGGAAAGTGCCCATTTGGTGTTTCTCTAGGAGTCAAGGATAGAATAGGAGGAATACAAAATGGAGTAGATGAGGTTAAGTGCCCCACGGGAAATTCCCTGGCAAGGAACTCCATGCTTCCTGCACAGGATCTGAAGAGTCCAAGCCAAGTTAGAAAACTTCTACAAACATTTCTGCACAATAGTTCTTAGTGTAAAGTTTAAAGATTTGTACAGAAAGATAAAATCCTGGTGCTTTGGCACAGT